CACTCATTCCTAGCTGCAGCTTCCAATCAGTGTCATTTCCAGGCGATGAGCAGATCTGGTTAGTAGTCCACACATCAGCCACTAACACGGTAGCTGTCTTTTCTAACAGTCTGCCGCTGTGTTCCATACCATCTTTTTACACTGGGTTCCCTGCTTGATCTCATTTTATACATCACAGGTCCCAGAAAGCCCTTGTTCCTGTAAGTAACACAGAGAAGGGAACCAACTGAGCTGAGGGTCTCTGCAAGAGCCACAAGCATTCTTATTAACCTCTGGGCCATCTCTCCCTCTAGCAGATACTGAAATGTTTTCTCTTGTGTATAGTTTATAGAGAAGTTCTTAGGATAGTGGAAATAACTGTCTCTCCTCAGGTTTGGAAGTTACTAATGTTTTCCTGCATACACTTTCTCACATACTGTTTAGATCTGGTCCCTTTATCCATAAACACTTCAGAGTATATTTCCTACGAACACAAGTTTTCTGGATAAGGGAATATATTTTTTTTTCCCCAGCCAAAATTCAAAATTAACATATAAGCTCCGATACTAAATTAAAAACGGCAAGTATGAAGAAAAGTGTATTGCCATCCTAAGAGAAATGATTAGGGCTGCTTTGTTACTGGGATATTCCTAGACCTTGCACATAGTTCCTGGCTCATAGTGGACACTCACTAAAACCTACCACTACATAAAGCAAAACTTTATGTGACTTTTCATAATATGAGGAATAACTAAGTCTCCATGGGCCTGTTAGCCAGCCTAGACTGATCGTTAGAGCATGCACAGTAGATCTCTCCTGGCAGCCATCCTGTCGGCCACAGGGCCTTGACAACAGCAGAAGAGATGGCGTGGACCTGGGTGTGGGAAATGACCAGATCACTGTAGGGAGCCGTCCCTGCATTCTCCATTACAAGATGGCGCCTGCATCCAGCTGGCGTTGAGAGTAAACAAGTCAATGCGCAGGTGCAGGGTGATTTTTTTTCCCCTCCCTTGGCCTCTGCCTCTTCCGTGGCGTCATATGGGCTGATGGGCTGCAGCCAATCGGGAGGTGACACCTCCCAGGCGAAGGTTGTAAACCTATATAAGGGTTGGGTTTTGGATGTTTGGCGTCTCCTCTCTGTAAGCTTATGCTCTCCCTCTCAAGATGCATTAAAGCTTTACTGCAGAAGGATCCTGAGTGTGCCGCGTCGTTCTTGCTGGCGAGACTGTAGCGCGGGAGATTTGGTGCCGAAACCCGGGAACAGAGACCTCATCATCGTCAGCACCATCGGAGACCCCTTGACTACAAGGAGGATTCAGAACTGCAGGCAGATGCGCTCGGAGAGGTATGTCTTTTCTGGACCCTGGTAAGAGGTCCAGGATAGCATGTCAGAAACCGAGCATAGTGAGAGGTTGGATGCGCTCAGGAAAACACCGTCCCCACCCCACCCCAAAAAAAGTTAAAAAGGCCCTCCCGGTGAGTTTAATGACAAGGGAGTGTATTTGGCAGAAAATAACAACAACTGATAGAGGAAATGTTGCTGGATTAATTCAACTGATATATTTTGAAAATGCTTTGACTCTAATGTTTAAGTTCAAGGACAAGTTACTTGGGAAAAGGATTTCTATTTTTGTTTCAACAGGAAACCTCAGTTCATATTGCAGAATTGGACCTTCGAGTTTGAGCAGACGCTTCAGGAGTTGAGAGCCGTCATTATTCAGATCAACTCCACGTGCCTTGATCTATCCTTGATGGAGGGACTGTTGTCGTGGATTGCTTCAGCTGTTTCCTATTTCAAGGAATGGGTGGGGGTGGGATTGTTTGGTGCAGCCGTTTGCTGCGGACTTGTGTTGCTTCTCTGGCTGGTCTGTAGGCTCAGAACCCAAACTAAGAGAGACAAGGTGGTTATCGCCCAGGCACTTGTAGCTTTGGAACAAGAGGCTTCCACTGATATTTGGTTAACTATGCTTAAGCAGTAGGCCGCTGGCTAGACAGCTCTTGCACACCCGGAGCCCAGGCTCATTGCACAGGGTAGAGTGTCAGGCTTGAGCAGCCCATGAGGGATGCCGAGCAAAGCATCTCACAGGGAGTGCCTGGCATGCAGGTCTCTCTGGGAGGTATGTTGTCCTGCATAAGGGTTGCCTGCCCTAGTCTCCCTTTCCCAGAAAAACGGCAGAGGACAGGTCGAGAGCGCTTTGGGTCAAGCTAACAGCCTAATGGCGACTCTCGTACACAGTCTTCATGTTTGACTGGGAAGGTACAACCTCTGCCTCTATCCCTCAATACATGGGTGACGTTTTTGCTTGTAAATTTGAAGCCTTTTCATTAATAAAAAAGGGGGAGATGTAGGGAGCCGTCCCTGCATTCTCCAGTACAAGATGGCGCCTGCATCCAGCTGGCCTTGAGAGTAAACAAGTCAATGCGCAGGTTCAGGGTGATTTTTTTTTTTTCCCTCCCTTGGCCTCTGTGGCGTCATATGGGCTGATGGGCTGCAGCCAATCAGGAGGTGACACGTCCCAGGCGAAGGTTGTAAACCTATATAAGGGTTGGGTTTTGGATGTTTGGCGTCTCCGCTCTGTAAGCTTATGCTCTCCCTCTCAAGATGCATTAAAGCTTTACTGCAGAAGGATCCTGAGTGTGCCGCGTCGTTCTTGCTGGCAAGACAGTAGCGTGGGACATTTGGTGCCGAAACCCGGGAACAGAGACCTCATCATCGGCAGCACCATCGGAGACCCCTTGACTACAAGGAGGATTCAGAACTGCAGGGCAGATGCGCTCGGAGAGGTATGTCTTTTCTGGACCCTGGTAAGTGGTCCAGGATAGCATGTCAGAAACCGAGCATAGTGAGAGGTTGGATGCGCGCAGGAAAAAACCCGTCCCCCCAAAAAAGTTAAAAAGGCACTCCCGGTGAGTCTAATGACAAGGGACTGTATTTGGCAGAAAATAACAACTGATAAAGGAAATGTTGCTGAATTATTTCAATTGATATATTTTAAAAAATGCTTTGACTCTAAGGTTTAAGTTCAAGGACAAGTTCCCTGGGAAAAGGATTTCTATTTTTGTTTCAACAGGAATTGGACCTTCGAGTTTGAGCAGACGCTTCAGGAGTTGAGAGCTGTCATTATTCAGATCAACTCCGAGTACCTTGATCTATCCTTCGTGGAGGGACTGTTGTCGTGAATTGCTTCAGCTGTTTCCTATTTCAAGGAATGGGTGGGGGTGGGATTGTTTGGTGCAGCCGTTTGCTGCAGACTTGTGTTGCTCCTCTGGCTGGTCTGTAGGCTCAGAGCCCAAACTAAGAGAGACAAGGTGGTTATCGCCCGCCCAGGCGCTTGAAGCCTTAGAACAAGGGGCTTCCACTGATACTTGGTTATCTATGCTTAAGCAGTAGGCCGCTGGCTAGACAGCTCTTGCACACCCGGAGCCCAGGCTCATTGCACAGGGCAGAGTGTCAGGCTTGAGCAGCCCATGAGGGATGCCGAGCAAAGCATCTCACAGGGAGTGCCTGGCATGCAGGTCTCTCTGGGAGGTATGTTGTCCTGCATAAGGGTTGCCTGCCCTAGTCTCCCTTTCCCAGAAAAACGGCAGAGGACAGGTCGAGAGCGCTTTGGGTCAAGCTAACAGCCTAATGGCGACTCTCGTACACAGTCTTCATGTTTGACTGGGAAGGTACAACCTCTGCCTCTATCCCTCAATACATGGGTGACGTTTTTGCTTGTAAATTTGAAGCCTTTTCATTAATAAAAAAGGGGGAGATGTAGGGAGCCGTCCCTGCATTCTCCAGTACAAGATGGCGCCTGCATCCAGCTGGCCTTGAGAGTAAACAAGTCAATGCGCAGGTTCAGGGTGATTTTTTTTTTTTCCCTCCCTTGGCCTCTGTGGAGTCATATGGGCTGATGGGCTGCAGCCAATCAGGAGGTGACACGTCCCAGGCGAAGGTTGTAAACCTATATAAGGGTTGGGTTTTGGATGTTTGGTGTCTCCGCTCTGTAAGCTTATGCTCTCCCTCTCAAGATGCATTAAAGCTTTACTGCAGAAGGATCCTGAGTGTGCCGCGTCGTTCTTGCTGGCAAGACAGTAGCGTGGGACATTTGGTGCCGAAACCCGGGAACAGAGACCTCATCATCGTCAGCACCATCGGAGACCCCTTGACTACAAGGAGGATTCAGAACTGCAGGGCAGATGCGCTCGGAGAGGTATGTCTTTTCTGGACCCTGGTAAGAGGTCCAGGATAGCATGTCAGAAACCGAGCATAGTGAGAGGTTGGATGCGCGCAGGAAAAAACCCGTCCCCCAGAAAAAGTTAAAAAGGCACTCCCGGTGAGTCTTAATGACAAGGGAGTGTATTTGGCAGAAAATAACAACAACTGATAGAGGAAATGTTGCTGGATTAATTCAATTGATATATTTTGAAAACGCTTTGACTCTAATGTTTAAGTTCAAGGACAAGTTACTTGGGAAAAGGATTTCTATTTTTGTTTCAACAGGAAACCTCAGTTCATATTGCAGAATTGGACCTTCGAGTTTGAGCAGACGCTTCAGGAGTTGAGAGCCGTCATTATTCAGATCAACTCCACGTGCCTTGATCTATCCTTGATGGAGGGACTGTTGTCGTGGATTGCTTCAGCTGTTTCCTATTTCAAGGAATGGGTGGGGGTGGGATTGTTTGGTGCAGCCGTTTGCTGCGGACTTGTGTTGCTTCTCTGGCTAGTCTGTAGGCTCAGAACCCAAACTAAGAGAGACAAGGTGGTTATCGCCCTTGACAACAGCAGACGAGATGGCGTGGACCTGGGTGTGGGAAATGACCAGATCACCTCAGCAGATGCCTGCTCAATGGATCTCCTACGCTGGGTAAGGTTGAGGAGTATATAAGGCTCACCCCTTCCTGGAATAAACAGAGCTTTGTTTCAACCTGTTCCAGATACCTTCCTCCACCCCCAAGGGACACCTGTCAGGATCCTGCAACAATGATGTTTCCCTAAAAGAAATCAAAAGCAAACCAGCCACGGAGGCAGTCATTTCTTTATTACCTGTAATTTGTAATTTGCATGGTACAAAGGAGTGAAAAGCTTTGAATACAAAGGACTTGGGGGGGGGGGTTTACCGTTGAAAGATTTTACTTTCAGTATTATTAATTGTGTGTGTGCACACTCGAGTGTGCATGCATATACACATTTGAGTACAGGTGCCTACAGAATCCGGAAGGCAGTGTTGGATCCTTTGAGGCTGGAGCTATGAAGGTGGTGAGCCACTTCACATGCATGCTGGGGACCAAATGCAGATCCCGAAAGGACGGCGCACGTCCTCAACCATGGAGCCGTACCTCCAGAGCCACAGAACTCCTTCTACAGATGACACTGACAGTCATAGGACCACAGCGTCATCTTCCTCAAGGCTCTCCTCATAAGTAGCGGTTTCTGATGTACTCTCGGTACAAGGCACTGTCCTCTTTACCAAGGGGCTGCATGACTCCTCTGGTGGCCTGGATGTGGGCGTGGAAGATCTCTGTAGACTTTCTGTCTACTCTTGGGGGCTGAACTTCATAGATGTTGTCTGGCGAGAAAGCTGAAATGGGAGTTCTGTGAGGGGCAAGAGAGAAGACTGTGTTAATGGAAGCAGAAAGGGCTAGAAGGGGCCGAGGGAACCACCTCTGCGGCTGCTGCTGGCTGGCTTCTCCTCTGGCTGAAGACTGCTGGATAAACACCGCCTGGGAAGCCGTCCCTGATGCCCAGGAGGGGCACAGGTCCTGTTCCTGTCTGTCTGCCTGCCTGCCTCTCTCTCTCTCTCTCTCTCTCTCTCTCTCTCTCTCTCTCTCTCTCTCTCTCACACACACACACACACACACACACACACACACACACGAAAGCCAGAGAGAGGAAAGGGGTAAGGGAAGGATAAGCAGCGCATAAGGGAAAGGAGGAAAAAGTCCAGGTAAGAGAACCCTGAGATGGCTAAACGTCCCATTATCAGGCCTGTGTGTGTACACGCGTGCTTCATGCCAAGGATGATGAATGAAGATGACAGAATTTATAAACACTGGTGATTTATCTCGCAGTAAACAGGAAAGCCCCAGAATAACAATGCTGCCACTACCAGCATCAGTATGATCCCCGAGAACAGACAGCATGTGTATGTGTGCTCTTCCTGTCTCAGCTTGTTCAGAGATGAATTACATACTGTAATGCACACCATTTGACCACAGAGCTACGGCATCTTAGCCTTCCGTTAAACCTCTATTTTGGACTTATAGACAACCACAGTTTATTATTGACAGCAAGGCAATCAGCTTACGTGGGAGGGTTTTAATCCATGGTCTGTTGGTCCATTGCTTTTGGGCCTGTGGCAGTCTGTGTGTCCTGGTAGGAGTGTGTGACAGGGGCTTCTACGATACACACAGGGGAAGAGGAGAGCCCGGAGTCCCAGCATCCCTTTAAGGGCAAGTTCTGGATGAGCAAACCTCCTTGACTATGCCTGTCCTTTGTAGGCGCCACTGCCTCTCAATAATGCCACCAGCTGTGGGCTTCGGGGTCACTTGTCTAAGCCATAGAGACGTTCGTAGTTCTGCCGTCCAACATGCATTTCTACTCTGTCCATGGAAACAATACTTCCTGTTTTCTCACTGACAATGAAACCTTCTCCGTTTTACACTTGACAGCTTCGAAGATAATGTCCTTGGCTCACACGTTTCTTCCTTGATGGTTTGAAACACACTACACCTCAGGGCAATCGATAAAATTTTTTCCACAAGAAGTCTTCACAGAAGCCTAACTGACGCTTTTCCTTCAAGGTTTGCTCACCCACACCCTGGCGTTAGTCAACACAGGTCAACACTCTGAGGCACGGTGTGCTCTCCAGAGTCTCACATGTCAGGCAGGCTGCTTTAGGGTCTCTGTTGTAGTAGTTTTTCTTTTTTAAGGGGCCTATTTATCCGCGTTTAAGCTTTGCCTATTGTCAGCATTTGAAACTTTAAGTCATCTCCATGTCTCTCTTTGTTCTGAATGTAAAGGCTTTGTATTTTAGCTCACTGTGAACTGGCGCATTGTGTTTCCAGCCTTTTATAGTCATCTGGCGGGCACGTGTTTGTTGTCTGTGGGATGCTTGTAGGCTCCGTGCTCTGTTCTTGTCATAACTGTGTGTGGGGCTGGCCTCTGGGACTCCTGCTGCACACCCCAGGGAAGGCGGCGGGGCTCAGGAGACCCCTAACTTCACACTGCCTCTCCTCTGTTATTGTGTCACCGTACAAAAGCAAGCCAGCTTGCCCTCCGAGGCTTCCTTTGTGTTCAGATTCTTACATCTTTTCTTAGGTTTTTGAGGAAGGGCCTCATGTAGCCCAGGCTATCCCTGCCTGCTTGATGCCTCTGCTTTTATCCCAAGTCCTGGAACGTAGGGCATGTGCCTGCCTGGCTCATCTTTACTGCCAAAGTCCTGCTCAATTTTGACACATCAGCAATTCCTCCTCACGTCTGTTTGCTACCCAGGACGGGGGCTTGGGTTATTTCAAGGGTTTAAGTGACCTCGTCAGTGTCACCCCCTTTGGGAACTCACCAAGGACAGCTGGACACACCTGATACAATCCCTCCCAGCATCAGCAGCCACACTAACATTGCCTGCTATGATTTCCAGTGGGGAACCCCACTCCTGGGTCCTGAGTTCCGAGATCATCAGATTCCCCGCCCCCTGCTCCTTCCTCATTTCTTCCTGTGCGCAAACCGCAGCATCACCCGAACTATCTAGCTCTGCTCTGAGCTCTGTCGAATACCCTGCCATGCAGTCCGAGGTAAGCGCAGTCTGTGGGTGATGCCGTCTGAATCTGTTCTGCCAAATGCTCACGACTTGGCTGCCTGCTGGTGGGCTTTGGAGAGGTAACACAACCATGGCTCGCCATCCTGGTGGAGCCATCATAATTTGGTGGTGTTATTATTGCAAAGAAGTGGGAGGTAGGAGGTGAAGCCTGATTCATTAGAGGGAGCTTCTGAGTGGCAGATCTTTTCCTGGGCTCTTCCCCAGCCACGTCCACTTCCTGTCTGGTGCGACGGAAGCAACCCTGTCCCTGCCCCCACCACACCACGAAGCTCTGCTTTGCCATGACCCAGAAATAATGGCACCAGCTATGCCAAACAAAAACCTCCTATATTCTCCCCAGAACCCAACAGACACATTTATCTTAGAAGTATATTTTTCACACATCTCCCAACTGGACAACTAAAGGAGAGACCTGTCGCATAGCAACACACAGCCGCTCTCTCAGGTCATCCGCCTGCTCCCACGATCTCCTCTGGCAGGCCTTGCTCTCCTTGGAGATGGTGAGCCCATCCCAGGAGTCCAGATGGGGAAGCTCTTATCTTCCTTCCTGACAGTGTTATTTTCCTTTGCTGCCAGAGCACCTGGGAGCAGACAGTCTTTGTTAATAGGTTACTAGGTCACAGGAAGACTCTTGTGGGCCTGATGAAGACAGCTGTGCATGCCTAGAGACCTTGGACTTTTAAGTACTTCTGTAACGAAGAGCGGGCAGCTGGGTGGCTAGAGGGACAGACAGACTGTGACAGACAGCAGATTAGATTCTTCAGTACTGACTCAAGCACTCCTTCCAGTATTCCGAGTTCACTGAAAAGAAAAAGGAAAAACAAAAACCAACCATCCCGGAGTCCCTTGGCACCTGGCTTCAAAATGTGACCATGGGTTTTGTTTTTGTTTTTTACTGTTGTCTTAGCTAGGGTCACTATTGCTGTGAAGAGCCACCATGACCACCGCAATGCTTATAAAGAAAACATTGAATTGGAGTGGCTGGCTTACAGCTTCAGAGGCTCAGTCGGTTATCATCATGGTGGGGAGCACAGCAGTGTGCAGGCAGACAGTGCTGGAGCTGTTGCAGGGCAACAGGAAGTAGACTGTCACAGTGAGGGACGCTTGAGCAAGAGACCCCTCAAAGCCCGCCCCACAGTGACACACTTCCTCCGACGAAGCCACACCTCCTAACAGTGCCATTGCCTTTGGGGGCCATTTTCTTTCAAGCCAACACATCTGTGGCATTCACATGATGCTTGGGTTTGCAGCCGGGCCACACAGACAGGAGTATCTGTTTTGTAGACGGGGGCAAAGGTGACTTCACTCTTGATGTGGTCAGTGCATCGGTGACATTCTGAATACGGCAGGGAAGGCAGATGAGGCAGCCCCTCCGATGGCATGCCTCTTGGTTCAGGGGATGATTTCTAGAAGCCTACTCTGCTGCCCTCCAGTGATCCCAGAAACCACCGGGAAACCAAGAACGGTTGCACAAGGCACGGATCTCCAGAACTAACCGGGAGACAGAGATGAACGGTTGCACAAGACACGGATCCAGGGTTAACCGGGAGACAGAGATGAACAGTTGCACAAGGCACAGATCTCCAGGGTTAACCGGGAGACAGAGATGAACGGTTGCTTAATGCACGGATCTCCAGGGTTAACCGGGAGACAGAGATGAACAGTTGCACAAGGCACAGATCTCCAGGGTTAACCGGGAGACAGAGATGAACAGTTGCACAAGGCACGGATCCCCAGGACTCACCCCAGCTGCACTGGTTCAGGGTCTCTAGCAAGACAGCTTTGACATCTATATTTGTATTTTTTTTCTTTTTGGATTTGGAAAATTATAGAGAAAACACGGTGTACATGTGCCATCACCAACATGAGCAAAAACATAAATGGTGACATTCAGAGAGCAGCCCACAGCCCCAAACAGAAACCACATCCCCTCTCTATAGTAACCATTTTCTAGAACACTTAAACACTCCTGGTTTTTGGAACTTGACTTCAATAAGCTTATGGTGGTTTGAAAAGGAGCGGCCCGTAGCTCACAGATTTGAATGTTTAGTCACCGTCACAGGGAGTAGACTATTTGAAAGGATTAGAAGATTAGGAGGTGTGACCTTGTAGGAGTGGGTGTGGCCTAACTGGAGGAAGTGTGTGCTGAGGTGGGCTGCCTGCCTGCCGTGCCCCTCCACCCTCATTCCCAGCCTATGGATCAGGATATAAAGTTGTCAGCTACCTGTCCCGCACCATGTCTACCCACATGCCGCCATGTTCCCCACCATAATGGACCAAACCTATGAAACTGTACACAAGCCCCCAATTAAATGCTTTTCTTTGAGAGTTGCCTTGGACATGGTGACTCTTCACAGCAACAGGACAGTGACTGAGATACTACACTACCTCGATATCACCAGATCTCTGGAACCCAGGACTCGGGGAGAGGTTAACCATGATAAAGTGGATGCCCGCTTGGTACTGAAGCTCATTACAGGGTTACAAACCATGCTCAGCTCTTCCTCTTCCCCCCTACATAAGCCATTTCTAAAGCCACCCTATGGACAGACATCCGCACATGGAGGCAGCCTTTGACAGCCTGGGGGTGCCAGGACCCAGGTGTCACACAGGTCACTGGGGCAGCTGGAGTGGCACTGGACCCAGCTCCGAGAAGGACATTATTGAGGCTGGGTTTTCATAAAATGAACCGCTGCCAGAATGGAGGGCAAGCCTTAATTAAAGTAGTATGCTCGGAGTTTTCTACTGGGAAATTACTCTTAATTAGTGAGGTAAG